TTAGCCTTTGACCTAGCTTACAATTTACCTAGTTAATTTCAATTCATTACTTTTGATTTACACCGTAAATGCTGGCTGGTTGTGTAAGCAATAGAAGGGTCTCTTATACCCTTTCCAACGCCTCTGTTGTAATTTCCAAGGCTTAGCAATAATTCGCTTACGTCTTACTGAATTTCTAGCAGTTTATGTTACCAAAGAGGATGAGACTACAACCCCTTGAAGGTTAGCGCAGTGATTTTTTTTTTTTTTTTTCTAATAGAAAATTCGACTTTCTTTTCTGATGTATTTCGTTTTATGCGTGTATTTAACGTAAAATAAGTAGATCTTTGCACATGTATCATTGCATGAAATTTTGCCATCTAGAAAAACTAAAGAAAAAAATCCAATTGGAAGAAAAACACTCCATTGCAAAAATTTTAAATTATACTTTTTAAAATAAAATTCGAAGTTTTATTTAATTTACGTCAAACTAAGATTGCTTTTCTATCTAATTAAAAGAAATAAACTGAAGAAAAAATTCCGAAAATTTCTATGATTTCAATATCATATTCTCTTGACAATGATTTGCTAGCAATTCTATTAAAATAACAGGCATGGTCGATAACTATTTAAGAGTGCTATAAAACTGTGAGCTGAAAGGCTTATATATTCGACACTTAGAAGTAAAAGTTCTTTATGAGATCAAAATGACAACTGCAGTTGTGTTAATTCAAAAGGAAACCATTATTTGAACAAAAGTAATATAAATGTCTATTCTACTGTAACTCTGTGACGAGTCTTAGTGAGGCATAACATGTAGAGCTTCTCAGCATGCTTTCTCCGAGCTACCTTTCTCGAATCTTCATTCTGAAAATTTGCAAAGATGTTGACAAAGAAACTGCAATGGATTACCAGCGGCAAGTATCTTGCCACCTTTACGCCTAAACACCCCGTTTCCGTTCTGGTGTTACCTAAAGAATATTCTAGATCAGTCGTCGGCAACTTATGACATGCGGAACAATTCTCAGTGGTACTCTACGAAGTTATCAAGCAAAGATAAATCGCTCTGTCTCTCCTCTGTGCGCCGTCAGATTGTCTCTGTGCGCCGTAGGATATTGAAATCACTTTTCGTTTATTCTGAGTTAAGACGCATTGTAATAATAGGCTTTATGATACATCGTTGTCCTAGACATAAGCTTCTGTACGCAAATATCAGTAAGAAAGTACTTTTTCCCTAACAGTTGTAGTATTAAACATATATGATAAAAAAAATAAATATTACTCACAATTTCTGATCCTTCAAGAAATCGCCAACATTGTTATAAATGACACCGACTGCTGAATTATAATTTGTGCAAGGTGATAATCGATTCTTCAGGCCTAGATCTGATGACAATGAGATTAAACTACTTGCTCTGACACCACCAGCTTCTTGTGGAAAAACTATTAAGTCAACTTCGTCCTTTTTCTTGTTATCCAATATAAAGGTTTGAAGATCTAAAAATAAAATTAGAGGAACATTTTCTCTGGAATTTAGCAAATGATTTGTTAAATAATATTCTAGTTATTCATGTAAATTCGCAATGTGCAATGAAATAGGCATTTCAATAGATGTTTTACTCCAAGGATTAAAACCAAATTCCTGAAACCAAATTCCGTTTAAACTGACTAGTGAGTACTTGACGTCATCGTATAGAGGTAGAAATGGAAATTAATTGATACCAAATTCAGTGCACACAGTGGGTGCTGGGAATTGTTTATTTGCTTATCATCCTTTACATTAAACCAATTTAATTAAAATTCAATATATAAAGCTTTCTATTTCTCTACCGCGTACTATAAATGCTTACGTTCATATAAATTAATCTGAGTTGAATTGAAATTGTATCATCAAAGAAAAGAGGCAGAATTCGCTTGGAACTTACTCGCAGAACTAGATAAGTAGTGAACAAGACAATGAAATAACTTCCACAGCGAGATAAAATTACTGAACATGGTCATAGTAGTATCTAGTGCGTTTTCTTTGTTACTGATGCACTGAAACGTACAATTATCGTACGAAAGTTTGAGGTCTTCATCAAGATCGTTAAGCTACATGAAGAAGACCTCTTTGTTATCTCAGATGTTTGCCTACAGCTCATGTTTCTGGAATATTTGCGCCCGGGATAAATCTGGGGATTTGGCAAACCGTTGTATAGAAAGAATTTTGTTTTAGTTCTGTTTATTTGATTACGGCAAAGCGCACAAGGGTTATTTGCCTAAATAATTCTGGTGGAAACTGATCTTCGTGGAGGATTTTTCTAAGGGCTATATGTAATCTTATAATTCCCCTCTACTGCTTCCCTGTGTGGGATCTGATGTTTTGAGATACCATTAGAATGCAGTTATTCAACATGCGAGGTTTTATCTATTTATTTTTAACTAATACCTTTAAGTTCAGTTACTTTTCTATCACCCTCTTTTCACACAGCCTTTTTCATGCCAGAATGTAAATGAAATAGCGAGCGTTTATTCCGATTGAGGGAGAAAGAAGTACTATTAAGCGAAGGTTACGCAAGTTATTTTTAGAGCGTGTTCTGCCGGTATCGTCCCAAATGCGGTCAAGAAGGGGAGAATAACGTTAATTGCGAAGGGAAATGTAAACGGGTGTGTTAGAGGTCATAAGAGGAGATATATTGTAAAAGGAGATGTTTTTAGGTCTCGTTCAATATCAATATATCAGGGGAAAAAAATGAATGCAGTTACAGCGAGAGCTCTCACCTGTTATTTAGTGTAAGTCAGTAGTTACCAACATATGTATATGGATGTACATGGTATCAGAATGGAGACAAATTACATAGGAGGCGAGAAATTTTGAAGTGCTCTTTTTCCTTTATATGTTACTAAACAGTTTAATAATATTAATATGCCTTTTTTATATTATTAATTACATATATCTACTTATAATTGCGAATTAAATTATCGTAAATTATTATTTCAGATTCTTATGTATGCAATAGGGCTTGAAAATATATTTAAATAGAATACCTAAATATTTTTCTTCAAATAAATATTAGAATTTACTTACTACCAGCTTCTCATAGACCGTAGGCATCTATTCTCATAAACAAAGAACATCCTGGGTACATGCGTACATACATTCAACTACACATACACACGCATACCTGTAACACACACATTTATTCATAAGATCCGAATTAAAAATACACTCATGTCCATAAATTAAGGATAATTCGGAGTCACGCGGAAATCGAACTCTAAAATAAATATATCACCTGTAAAATCACTACACACATCTTCAAGAACATATGCAAATTTCAGGTAGTAACTAGATGACACGATGGTACGTCACAATGACGAGAGTGTAAGAGAGTGATATATAAGGAATACAGGCAAAGAAGTAAAATTTTTCGCAGGCACTTTATAAGCATTTCAGTGCAATAACCGAATAGTTATGACACAAAGGAAGCAAATTGGATGATTTTTTACGTGGTAGAATTATCGGCCGTCTGGAATGTGGGCGTACCCAACTGGAAGTATCAGACAAACTTGGAATTGCCCAGAGTGTCATCTCCAGGGTTTGGCAACATTCCAAGATGATGGTAATGTGAGTAGACGTTACAGCACAGGTCGCCCCAGAGTTACACGCCGAATGAGGACCGGTATTTGGCAGTTACTGCCAAAAAAACAGGTGGAGCACAGCCTCAGACCTGTCCTCGTCAGCTCTCTTCAAGCCACTGGTACGACAATTTCAAGGCAGACCGTGTACAGACGCTTAGGGCAGATTGGTCTATATGCTCGTAGACCTGTCAGATGCGTTCCACTTACTGCAACTCACTGTCGCCTGCGGTTAGCCTGGAGTAGAGAGCATGCATTGTGGACACCGCAACAGTGGGCTTGTGTGATGTTTTCCGACGAGTCCAGGTTTAGCTTGCAGTCTGATTCTCGCCGGACTTTCATATGGAGAGCTCCAGGTACCCGTTACTACCAAGAAAACATCATTGAACAACACCGTTACGGTGGTGCAGGAGTGCTCATTTGGGGTGGAATTATTCTGGGTTCCAGAACTGACCTGCATGTTCAAATTGGAACCATGACAAGCCAAAATCTATTGGGACATCATTCTGGAACAACATGTACATTTGTTTTGGGGCGCCATGGCCGCACAATTTGTGTTTATGGATGACAACGCCCGTCCTCACCGTGCAAACATCGTAAGCGAATGCCTTCAATCGGAGATATCACCCGTATGGACTGGCCAGCATTCTCACCGGACTTGAATCCGTAGAGCACATGTGGGACATACTTGGCGACAAGTTGCAGCCCGTCAACCTCCTCTACATGTCTACCGGAACTTCGGAGAGCATTGCTTTTTGAGTGGTGTAATATCCCCCAAGATCAGATCGATAATTTGATACTCAGCATACCTAGGCGTTGTACGGACTGTATTGCATTGTCTGGGAGACATACAATGTATTAACATCATACCAACCATGTAATATTGATTTTTTGTAAATAGGTTTTTTTGTAATTTGCTCCAGGGAGAAAAAAACCGCTAATTTTTTTAATAATATCAACATATAGCATCTGTTTTGCTCTTTCCTTTGTTTAATAAATAAGCTTACAAATAAGTCAAATTTGTTTTGCTTCGAACTCTTCCTTTGCCTGATTTTGCATTATCCTTAATTTATGGACATAGTGTAATTTAGCGTTTACATAGCAGTAGAAAATTAACCAAAAAGCAGCCACCCGCAATGTATTTGTAATTTGAAAAAGGTCCTCAGACATAAAAAGGTTGTAAGCCGTTTGAATTAAGACTATTTCTCAGGTATTCAGATATTTCGTATTCATATAACATGGCATTCGAAGGACAAAACTTAATCTTTTCAATCATATTCAATGATATAACAAATGTGTGTCTTTCTACCCCTGTGGCTTTAAAAAGATTTATTTGAGTGATAGCTATCATTTGATAATTCATTTTTATAGTACAAAATTACATAAAAATTACAAGTACACATAAAAAATTGCATACAAAATTACGTTCAAGGAATTCAGTTTTTCTATATTTTCCTGTGTATAAAACCGAATGCACAGAAGTTAAATATTTAAACGCCCCTCCCCCACATTTTTGCACACCTCCGAACCTGCAGACCCCTCTGTTTCTAGCACCCTGCGTTTTCCTTTCTTCATAATTTACTACTTGACTGCTAATGATCAGCTACTTCAGGCCACGTTGTACCTTGACTATTAGAGACTTGATTCTGTGACGTTGAGTGCTTCCAGCCATTCAACTTGTCTCGCCGATTTTTGTCTAGTACTATACTAGTACATTTGAATTAGTTCAACATTACGTATTTAAGTTAAGCCAGAAGTGTCTGACTTATGTAAACACAAGTAGGGTCATTGTTATTTCTTTATGTTCAATAAAAGGGCTATTTACACCCTTCTTCTGACTTTGTATGTCTACAGTTTAAGGCAAGAGGACTATTCCTCTGTGATCTTTGTAGAGCTCACTAGTTTATGCTACCGAGAAAGTAACACTCACTAGTTTATGCTACTAAGAAAGTGAGGCTCCACAAACACAATGATAAAATTAGATGCACTGACTGAAGAATATTTAGAAATTAGCTGATAAATTTATATTTTACAACATATCTCGTTTAGTCAAATAAATATCAAAAAGTAAATTTGATTTTTTATAAATAATAGACAAACAAACTTTGAAATTAAAATTTTAAACTTTGAAGTTGTAGGTGCCATCAGTGAGTTCATTAATTCTAAACCTAGGTCTTACATTACAAATTAGGAACTTTGTCGCTTAACTAAACCTGCTTGTAATTGATGTTAAAAGAAACAACATAATTTAATAGCTCCGAATATAAGTCTCATGTTCTGAATTATAGGCTTAGTTGACTGAAAATCAATTGAGAAAACAAATGATCTTCTTTACAAAAAATTCAGCCACATCACGGATTGTTGAATTTCGAGAGAAATATTTATCTGATTTTCCCATAGTTGATTAAACAATTTTTATTATTCATAAGCAGTTCAGTTTTATTATTCATAAGGTTCTATAATGATATGTATTCGTAGGTTATAATTTCGAAACACTTTTAAAGATTTGTTTGGACAGGCAATTGAAATCTAATCTTCTCTATCTGGAGAGGACCGCTAAGTTACTGCATATGGAACCACTCTTTTTAATTTCTTCTTCACTTTATCGGAGTTTCTTACGCTTTGCTTCATAAAGTTACGAAATTTTATGCATAAAATCTTTATCACAGAACTGTTCATAAAATATTTATTACAATGACTATTATTTAGTTTACATGATTATTAAATTATAATCAAAGTTCACTGAAAGAGAAAGAGAACTATTTTAAATAAATGCAGAAGAATATTTAAATATATATGAGATATGAAGAGAGACCGCATGCAATATGACGTTAAAAGAAATTTAGAAATTTTGCTTTCAAAAACTAAATAAATCTTTTCATACAAAGTTTTTAAAAAAATGTACCAATATTTTCTTCTTTAACAGTAAACTGTAACTTGTCTTGAGACATCCTAATACAACTTAGACGACTCCCCATAGTTGTAACCAGCATCAAAATTTTGCTTGCAACTCTTGTTTGGTGTATCTGTTACACAAAAATAAAAACGAATAAATTCATTGTAAGTAATGGCATAATGATTAATACGGAGAAAACATAATCCAATGCTTTAAATATTTTTTATTAGAGGCTCTTTGATTTAGTTTAATTTTCTGTTCATTTCTGTTGCAACACTCGCCACCTTGATTGAAGAGCAGTTTAAAAGTAAATAGAAGACAGATTATGCTAATCTGAACCTTAGACAGTAAACGTTCATGAAAGATGAAAGAGAAAATGAATCTTAGTGAAACAGAGATGTATAAAAAGTGTCAGATGTACGTCTGCCATTAAGCTTATATCGGAGTAGCCACGCATTTAAAAGCCTTGGAATTTAGAATGAAAAAACGCAGGAATAGTTGAAAGTAGGAGGATATTTGAAAGTACGCGTCCATCAGGATATGGCAAGAGGTCAAGTGGATATTTTTTCAGACCTATAGCGCAAGGAAAACCAATATTTGACGGCGGTAAACGTTTTGAGAATAGAAAGAAATTTTTACCCGCAAACGGCGATCACATAGATAAATCAAAAAAGACAAAACAAGGGGAAGACAGAAAAAATTTTAACTAATAAGGGGTGTTGGAATACTGAGGGTACAGTCATTCCGGATGGAGAAACCTCCTGCTAGGATTCACTCGAATACAATGACAATAAAAAGTTTGCCCCTGCCAATCACTATTAAACAATATATTGTTACGAATTTGGTATTTAAAAAGCTAATGTTAGTTCAATTATAAATTAAAATGGTTTTATTTCTCGCGCAGTGCAGCGCGTGACGAATATTAAAAGAAAGCTAAGCCGGAAAATTGAAAATACAAGAGCGCGTGCATTAAATAAATAAATAACTCTTTTTGATTTCGAGAAAGTACTGGAAAATTCTAGCGCGTGATTTAAAATCTTATAAAAGGAGGAAAAAATCTCAGTTTGTAGTAGTGCTTGCTTAGTTTGTTGTTGTTTAGAAAAACTGCTCTTGTTGATTGTAGCGAATTCGCGGATTAGCGTTCTTTAGCTGTTTGAATTACGTTCTATTGGACATTTGAGTAGTTAAAAGATAAACTACTGTGAGATATTGTAATACTGCATGATAATTTGAGAAAATTTAAGCATTTTTGTTGTGATAATAATAAATTTTTGTTCATTTTTCATCGGACTTGTGCATTCATTTATAACGAACCCGTACGCACGCAACAATTTTTGTTGTCAGGAAGTGGGATTTGAATGCCAATAACAAGAGCGATGGAAGACAATCAAGAAATGATGACTCAGCTGCTTTGCAAGAGCAATTAAGGAAGAAATAAATGGGCCAGAATCCGTTAAGGAAGAATGAAATGAAGGAAAGATGAACCGTTAAAAAGGAATGGAAGCTTCAGAAAAGGAAGCTGGTCAAGAAACTTTTAAAAACATAAAAGCTGTACAAGAAAAGATTGAAGCAGGTCAACGAAATGAAAAGAGAAATACCCTGCATAATAGAAAATAAATTTGAGGCTATGAAGGCAGAATAGTGCGAAAATAAGTCGGGCAAATTGAAGAAAAGTTTCTTTCTTTCAAAGATGAAATAGAAGAAGAGTTCTTCGGCTTGGAGCACGAGTCGAAGGAAGATTTCCAAAAGAAGAAGAAGAGTTTCTGCCGTTCGAACAACAAATTGATGATAGGGTTTCTGCTGCGTTGCCAAGAAGTTGACACTTAAAGAGTGCATAGCGACGGTAGGAAACAATTCTGAAGGTTTTAAATTTCAATCTATGCCTGTTCGTCCCTCTCTGAAGCTACCTACATATGATGGGAAGACCTCCTGTTAAGTATATAAGACACAATTTTCTATAGTGGCCGATGCGAAATAGGATGGGATCCCCAGGCTAAGGCCTGTCATCTCGCCGCATTCTCTGAGAGCAGACGCAACGGATATCCTGCAGACGCTTCCCGAAAACAAAGGCTTGACTTCGAAGCTCTGTCCGGCGCATTGGAGCTGCGCTTTGGCGAGAAATGTTTAAAAGACTACAGCAGGCTTCAATTAAAATCCCGTCAACAGAAGCCCACGAATCACTCCAGGAAACTCGCCACAGATGTTGAAAGGCTGTCCCACCTCGCCTTTACGGAGTGCCGAGAGAAACGAGGGAAATTGTCCTGCAATATTTTCGATGGCATCCGGGACCCTGAAATACAGAAAGCTATGCGAATGGCAGGATGTAAAGGATTAAAAAGCGCTCTGTTGTACGCGTGAAATTGGAGGCAGCCCAGCAAGCAACTCTTAGAGACGTACCCAGTCAGAGCTATGTGCGAGTCCACGACCCAGGGGAAAATTGATGGCTCGTTTAGATGATTTATCCAGACAAGTCGATGCTTTGATACGGAGTAGCAGTGAGAACAAAGTGGCTGTAAGGTGTTGGAGATGTGGTTCTGAAGGTCACCTACGACGGCATTGCAGAACACCCCAGGGCACGGATAATAAACGGATGAGTTGACAAGACCAGTGAATGCTTGAAGACGGAATAGTGGTGAAACAAAACCGACCCTAAAGTGCTGGAATTGCGGTGTTGAAGGCCACCTACGAAGGAACTGCAGAAACCCCAGAGCACGGAAAAAAGGCATACGATTTAAACAGACAATTAAATGCCATGGGAAGGAAAAGGACTGACAAGAACCAAAGTGCTGGAACTGTGGAGCTGAAGGCCACGTACCAAGAATTGCAGAGCACCCCAGGGTACGAAATTGAGACTTTCTGAGCAACAACGCAGGAAACAAATTAATGCCATATCAAGGAACGGAGTTGCCAGATAATAAAAAACCCTGTTTTAAAGCGCTTGAGATTCTATAGTGAGTGGCAACAGTAACGGACTGTCCATCAATGGGAATATCGATGGAGTTCCTGCAATATGATCATGACACAGGAGCTAATGTTACCTCATCCAGAAAAGATTTAGCTGAACAGTTTAAAGATAAACTTATTGGACGCCGCCTGCGTTACCCTTCAGACTGGTCTGGTGAAAAATCGACATCGACTGGGAAGTAAACATGAAAATCATGTTTGGAAGTGCCGCCTACCATCACACGGCATATGTAGCGGAGATTACAGATAATGCATACTCGGATTGGACTTTTAAGGAAATACAATTTTTCCTTAGACTTGAAAAACAACAAACTGCTTTCAGCATCTGATGACATGACTATCCATCCTCAAAAGGGATCCTCGCCTGGAAATGCCGACGCCTTGTCCGAAAGACCCAGCTCAGAAAGCTGCCGAAATCATACTAGGGTCGAAAAGAAACACGCAAGACTACCAGCTATTCTCCATCAGATGCTCTTCGGTCGAGACCTTCGTCTGCCTTGTGACCGCCTGTTTGATCGCCGTACGGATGCGCCTTCATCGCCTGAGGAACACATCCAAGATGTCAGGCCCGTTTGAAGTGATGCACCGTTCCGCAACGAAAGCGAGTGAAACTTGGCGACGGAGGAAAGTGAAGACCAGATGCAACACGAGAGCTACTGGACATAGATTCAACAAAGGAGACAAGGTGTTGGTTGTGGAACCCGATTCGGCGAAAAGGAGTCAGACCTAATTACAGTCCCCTTGGGATGGTCCTTACGCATATAACAATGACTCGAATGGTCGGATCCGTAAGTCGTTCGAACTCTAAACCTAAAGTCGTTAGTTCATTACTTACTGGCCATAGTACATAATGTAAAATAATTGTAAATAGTAAGACCATGGTCCTTTTGTTTTTAAATGGGTTTGATTTGTATTTTATTTGATTTGTATTTGATTTGAGCATTTGATTTGTTTTATTTTGCATTTATTGTTCATGTTGTTTATTATTGTAATGTAATGCTTATTATTGCATTTATGCCACAGTTGTAAGTTTAGCTTCCTGTCCAGGGATTGAACTGCCGGGACGTGCAGTCCTTGGGAAAGGGGGCAGTTACGAATTTGGTATTTAAAAAGCTAATGTTAGTTCAATGGTAAAATTAAAATGGTTTTATTTCTCGCGCAGTGCAGCGCGTGACGAATATTAAAAGAAAGCTAAGCCGGAAAAATTGAAAATACAAGAGCGCGTGCATTAACATAAATAAATATCTCTTTTTGATTTCGAGAAAGTACTAGAAAATTCTAGCGCATGATTTAAAATCTTATAAAAGGAGGAAAACATCTCAGTTTGTAGTAGTTACTTGCTTAGTTGTTGTTTTTAGAAAAACTGCTCTTGTGATGAGCTGTATCGTTGATTCGCGGATTAGCGTTCTTTAGCTGTTTTGAATTAAGTTCTATTGAACGTTTGAGTAGTTAAAAGATAACTACTGTGAGATATTGTAATACTGCAATGATAATTTGAGAAAATTTAAGCATTTTTGTTGTGATAATAATAAATTTTTGTTCATTTTTCATCGGACTTCTGCATTCATTTCATAACGAACCCGTACGCACGCAACAATATCAATGTATGCATTATTGGATACTGGAGCGCAAAGTAGTTTCTTGGCAAAAATGTAAGAAAGAACTTTCAAACGTACCGAGGTGTTTGGTATTGCCACCTAAGGCAAACAATATCAATATGTAGGAAAGCTTACATTAAATGTACAAGCGAGAAATGAAAACCTGATGGTAGTTTTCTTTCTTGTAAAAATTCTTTAGGCACCTGCAATTTTGGTAACGGATTTTTCAAAAGTGGCGGTTTCCAAAATTAACTTTCAGAAAGAGACGGTACAGCTAAGACATGAATAAAGTGGAAAAGAAGGCAATCCAGATTTCAGTCGTAGACTTCAAAGATCTGAAGCCAGAAGAAAAAAAGAAGATGGAATAGTTGGTAAGAAACTTTGCTGCTTTATTTGATGTGGCGACAGGGTTAACATAGAAAATCAGGTTTATCTGGTCGGCCTAAGCAAACACAGCGTTCAAAAAATTAAAAACCGCATTGATCCAAGCGTCAGTATTAAAATGCCCTCACGCCAATGAGACGTTAAAAACCGCTGCAGATGCATCAGATTTCGCGGTAGGAGTCGTGTTCATGCAAGACGGACAGCCAGTGGTATATTTTAGTAAGACACTTAATCCAACTCAATTATACGGCTTCAAAAAGAGAAACGAGAGGGGTTCTTTTAGCGGTTACTCACAATGTAAGCAATCCTAGTTGACACTTCAGCCAAGCAGTTGTCTTACACGTTTCGGCATATGTGTTTCCCTTGCCCTCTTGACTCGCCTTGTGCATCATTGGTTATTCATTTTCGATCACTGAATTTCTACTTAAGAGGTATTTGTGTACTAAGTTGTGAGATTGTTGGATGACATTTGTAGATGGGGGAATTTCCTTAACCCTCTCAGCTTTACGGCCGGAAAATTCCGTACAGAAGGTTGCCTTCCACATTCATTATACATGAAAATTTTGCTAGCTTTTAAGGTATCTGATTTCAGTTTGGATGTATATTGGAAGAAAGGAATCAAGGTAAAAAATGAAAGAGTCATTTTTAATTAAACAAGAAAATTTACTTATTCATGACATTTTGAGGAACTTTTAAATTTCAGGGCTAAACCCGTAACGCTCAGAGGGCGTATGGGTGTTTTTCCCTTTGTAGTAAATATAAATGAATGTAACTGAAAAGGGGGGGGTGAACACTTCAAATAAAATCGGGATGGAATATATATATATATATACATATCCATATAAATGATTTTAACATTTTGATTTTTTAATCATTCTGAGCCAATAATTTGATTCACAAAGCATTACCTTAAATTACAGAAAACATAGAGCATTATATCATAGCATAGAATATGTCATTTGAAATGGGTAACTTTTAAAAACATAACAGATCTCATATGGAATGATAAACCTCACAGAGATATGCATCTAACATTTCAACAGTGAATGAACGCAAGTAAAGTATTTCTTTTTAACGATCTTATAAAAAAATTATTTTGAAACAACTATAATCACCAGAAAGATTTTTTTGTTCTAATCCATAAAGAGATTGTTTAATATCATACTAATTTCAATTTATTTAAATAACATAAAATGTACCTTTAATTAAAAAAAATTAGAAAATTAAGGGTATCAGTTTTGAAAACTTGAAGCCTGTCTTCAATAAAATTATTTTTTGATAATTTTTCATCTTTCAAGCATAAAATTGTTACTAATACTTCGTAGGACATAATATTGCTCCGATGTTACTTGAAGATTTTATGCTTATTGTAATGTAAAATCGAGGAAAGGTGCTTTATAAGTATTGCTGAAATTAAAAAGATTTCTATAAATGAGAATAAACAGAATATAAACATACCTCAGGTAAAATTTCCCATGCCTTTTTGATCTCAGCTCTGAGTATATTGCTGAAAGATGCCACCATAGAACGAGTGAAATTGTAGGATACGGGTGGCCTTTTCTGTGTTCCTGCAATTTCGTATTCTTCTTCTCCTTTCTGTTCAGAGTAAAGATGAAGAACTTTAGCTGACAAGTCAACCAGGGCAGAAATATCTCCATGGGACATATCCTGGTACCGTGTTTCTTCTGCCAGTTTATATGAAATTTTTACCGCGTCTTCCCGTTTTTTAACCTGAAAAATAAAATTCATTAAAACACAAATATATTTCGTATTGTATCAAACTCATTAATAAATTAGATAAATGCATACTTAGAAAGTGAAAAAATTACACACAGTGAAATTTTAGCAAAATTAAAGCAATCGTAATTATAATATAATAACAGGAAATATATAGTGGTATTTTATATTTAATGTTAGTGTTTTAAGCGAAAATACCCAAATTTATCTGTAATTACTGTAAGGATTTTACTTTAAGCTACGTAAATATAGTATTCATGATCCGTGCTTATTACACATAACGTGCAAAATTCATATTTTCTCTATAATGTCGGATTTCTTCCTTCGTTGCTTATAACACAGACACAGTTTGAACTAGTCATACCTAAAGAACTAGTGAGTAGGACTATATAAATGCCATAGACCAAATATGTTTGCTTTCAGAACAGTTCATTGTAATATTATTCATGCCTCAGAGCTCAGAGTACTAGAATTATTAAGGAGATGTAATGTAATATACGAGTATACTGTAACCCTCCTGATCGATAACAATCGGCTTCATGGTTAAAACAGCATACCCAACACAAACAAACAAAAATACAGTTAAGAGATTAAAACAAAAGATTAAAATACAGATTTAAACAGAAATATCTAGTATTAAGACACAATAACACGCCGAATAAATACTAATTCAGAAGTCAAACAACAAAAATCAGCGTTATTTACAGAATTTTCACAGGAAATTCTGTAAATATAACGCTGATTTTTATTGTTTGACTTCTGAATTAGAAATATCTAGTATTGTTCTATTGCCATTTATAAAGTTCATCAAATCCTTTCATCAAATTTAAACTTTTTATTGAGGCAGTAGATTCCTTTATGCCACCATGTTTTTCCCTAACATGTCGCAGTAATACGCAATCTTCGACGAAATGTCGTGCATTGCCTTGAGCACTACAAAAACTAGACTATTACTTTGTAAATTAAATCGTTTCAGGTAGGCCGGGAAGCACCTGTGTCCAGTAATTATTTGATTGTAATAAAAATTACATATCGTTCTCATACTTTTAGAAACTTTAAAGTTCAACAAATAACCTTCCTTTTTCCCGAAATCTTCTTTTCTCTTTCCAGCAATCAGAATAGAAATCCTTGATTTTAAAAATAGCAATCCTTTTTAATGCTTCAATATCGAGCGCATCCCCGGCGTTACCCATAGCAGCCTCTTTGACCAGCATGTCGGCCCTCTCATTGCCTACAACACCAATATGGGCTTTCACACAGTTTATTTTCACTTCATGCATTTTTTTCAACTTTTACATGGAGCTCTTTTATATATGAGACCAAAATATTGGTGTTACCATCATCTGCTAATTATTAGTGGGATATTCGTTAAGAATAAAACAGCTCAAAATAACAATAACGCATTTCTTTAAGACTGTCAAAAGACAAACACTTGCTTCTCTCAAGCGTCGAAACACCAAGATTAAGAACAAATCGATGTTTAAATTAATATTAAATTATTAATATAATTAAAAATGCAATCAGTTGCTCACTCCTAGCTTCCATAAATCAGACTATATATTTATTACGCAAAACAGTATATAATCAAATTTGTATATCTATTATTTTTTATTAACTTGATATCCAGCTGTCCAAGTTTACTGCCTTTTTTTTCATTTACATATTTCAGAACAAAGAATTATCCGGATAATTTTCTTAGCTCCAAATAGAAGAAGCTTTTTTTTAAAACTTAAACATCTAAGCGAAGAATTTCATTGCTTTATTTGTCATTTAAATCAGAAATTTTTTAATTTATTACTTGTGTTAATGCAGTAGAAACACACAGGGCGTCATGAAGCTGTTTGTAACTGAAGCACTTTTTAATAAATATGGGATTGGGGGGGTGATTATCTTTCTTTCCTCTTGCTCTCCTTTTAATCTCGTTTTTCGTTTCGCTTTAAACTTTCAGTGAAGCATCGGATTAAGAGTTGCAGGAAAAAATCTTGGAGATTCCTTAGAGCGCCAAGAAATAGAAATATTCCTTCGTTTGCTGGCTGCAGAGTGTCAGTCTCTTTGTTTCTGCCCTGGAAGTGAGGCCGGGCTGTTTTAATTAATATATGAACAAATCGTGGCTAGTTTCGCCCTCACAATATTGAAGAAAGGAGCGTCAAAATCAAGGTAAAAAGGGAAAATTTGCTGTTTAACTGTTTTCCCTTTCTCTCTTTAAAATGCTTTTTTCTTTTATGTCCAATATGGCGATGTAGTCAAGCATTAGTGACATTCAAAGCCTTTATTTAACAGCACTTCTGTCATCTCCATTTGGAATAACACACAGCCTTATTTCCTTCGACGCATATTTCTTGATCTCGTGTCTTCACAGTGTTTATCACACTTTTGAGACTTTTAAATTTTCTATTTGTAATTCAAACTTGTTCTCAAGGTAATAACACTTCACAATGATTTTGCTAATTTTATCACTGGTACTTTTATAGTAAATGAACCCAGTATTGGATCTATGGCGAGAAAGCCGGGAGGTTCCTGCCGAGGACGACAATTTCTGTCTGCAAATTCGAGTGTGGAGCTGTAGCAAGTATTCGGAATGTTGTCTAATTTTATTACAATATTAATAATTTTAAGGCCATGTTCAAAATACTTTTTTAAGGAGATTTATAATTAAATACTCAGAACTCTTTTAAAGATTCAGTATCAGCATGTAAGGAATAAAAACTTGAATAGAGCTAGAAGTGGGTAGTTTAAAAACAATTACAGTTATTTTTCATGTATATTGTCTGGTGAAATTTGCCCAGATATCAGCAAATAATTAATTTTATCTCTTTTGTTCTTTCATATTATAAAATTTTTTGCTTATCAGTACAGAAACTGAGATAATTAAAAAATAAGCTTTCTAATAATAATAATAAAAAAAAACATTTTAAACATCAATAATAAAGTATTCATAACTATTTTTACTAATAGTTTGTACAAATATCAACATCGTTAACTTAATTAATGAAAACCATTTGAAACCAAAATAGGATTTGCTTTGGCGAATTATAGTTAAGAATAATGGCCCCCATTGTTCTGAGTATTATTGGAATATTTTAAAGATTAAATCCGAAAGTACCTCAAGATGGTTTTGCAGTCGAAATACGAAAATATAGCTCATTTTATTCATATCTGTTTGTCATACACTTGATCAAATAGTGAGTAAGTGTTTAATCCAGGTGATAATATTAAGCACTAATTAACATTTCCTATAACTACTTTTTAATAAAGGCTTCCTATGAGCAATCCCCTTAATTTTGACTCGTGGCTTTAGGATAAGCATAATGTTAATCTACCTTTAAACAATGGGATTTTTTTTAAGCACTGTGTCACGCAAATGCTTAGTAATAATAATCTTAGCGTCACTAAGAATCATTTTCTGGATTCGCATCTTGAGTTTTTCCCAGGAATATTTAAAGTGACGAGTACGGGCAATATATATGAATATATATATCGCAAGCGTACTATAAAGGAAAATATACCCGAAAAAATACTAATCAACTGCTACTGAACTCTAAACAGGGGTGTATCAGAGAGAGAATTACAATTAAAATCGATTAAAATTGCATTTTAGGTAATTATTATTAATTATAATAGATTGCAATATTTGAATGCGAATTATTTAATTGCATTTTAAGTAATTATTATTAATTATAATAGATTGTAATATATGAATGCGAATTATATGAATATTTAAGAAAAAAAAATTATGACTGCGAAAGTAGAAAAAGCTTTTTTTGGAATGTTTCATTTTTTATAGAATGCAGATGAATTAATTTTTACGCAATGAAAACTAAATTTTATTAGCTAATTATTCGTCTTCTATCGAGCATCGTAGTTCAGTTATCTGTATTAATGTGCCTTTCTTAAAATTGAAATGCCTTAAGAATAATTAGAAAAGGACCTAATTCTCTTCTTACCCTTTAATTCTTCATTTATAACTGCATTTTCAGCCATAATCATGTGAAATAATTCTCTAAATGTAATTCAGTGCAGAAAAAATAAGATACATAAGCGGCTTGGAAACGAAATCAGCATTGAGATTCTCTTTAAGAAATACGATGAAGTTTAAAAAAAAATCTAGGAAGCGAAGTAATTCCGAATAATATTTTATAATTCTTTATCACTGAATTACTCTTCATCAGCTACATGTAAATATAATTTAATAATTTAATGTGTATGTATAACTACATATAAACATACATACACATTCTATTTATATATACTGGGAGGGGGCTTACTAGCGGCTGAGCGGTAAAGCCGCTGAACAGTGGTAGTCTGATTCGGCGCTCGAATCCCGATGAACGGGTTGGCTGTATGGGCGTTTTCTTGGTTTTCCCATATGTAGCGTGTATACAAGTCAGTTTCGTTCAAAAAGTCCTCGGAAGCATCTTACCCCTTGGCAGATAGCCGTCGAGTGCTTTGCATGAATCAGAATGAATAAATGAATGAATAAATCAGACCAAACAATATATACATATATATGTAACTTAAACATTGCCATATTTTACATATATTTATAAAATGGTACTCTGTGTGTAATTTAAAAACTTCTAATTGCTTCAAATTTGGTAAATGATTCATATAACAAAAGTCTTACATTTAAAAAAATAATTTCTGTTACCGTTATGTTTAATTTGGGGTTTTCTTTTACTTACTTATTTATTATTATTGGTTCACATGTTTTCCAGTTTGGTCCTATACTTTTCAATTAAAAGCTAACAGCCATATGAATTAATCATTTCTCTATTTCACAAATAGGTAGAAAAGTTTTTACGACTGTGTATCACCCGATTTTTAAGTTCCTAATAAGCTGCCAATGTAATGTGTGCTGGAAGTAATTTTTATTTTGGAACAAACCTTTCCTAGATATTCTAATTTCACACCAACATTTCCCTACCAGAATGAGGTTTAGGATTACATTTATGCAAATGAGGTAGAAATGAGTATTTAAGCTGAAGTCTGGATCACTAGGAAACTTGAATATGGAAACCATTCCGAACTTCATTTCCAGAAAGAACGAAAATTTTTTCAATAAATCCATCTGCAATAATCCTGCTAATTTTGCAGACATCCTAGCATACGAAATCCTAGCAGAAGATAAGAGATACCGCCCATCTCCTAAAATTAGATCACGGATCAATCAGGAGTACCTCCCTCTTCGAACACACCAGCCTAGCAGCTAACTTCCAGAAGCAAGGTACTTCACTTTCTTTCTCCTTTCAGATGTACCTCTACGGGATAAAAATCACTCTAAGGAATCACAACCGTCAGGCCCAACTTGGAATACATCAAGGAACTGGCAAGAGCAGGCTAATACATCGCCTGCTGAAAACCAGAATAACTCCAAAGTTCCAAAGTACTTCAGTAGGAGAGCGTGTTCTGCCTTTCGGCCACGTTGTTGCTGTTAGTTCAAGTTCTGTGGCCGTAATTGTACGTGCCTGCCACTATACGCTGGTGATTTTTAAACAAGGGCCAACTCCGTTAGTTGATTCTATGCAGCTTTGGCTGATTAATTTTATTTAGTATTATATAAGTTTTCTATTTTCTATTTTGAGTTGAAGGCCAAGTGGAGGCTTACTGTACGCCCGAGAGTGGCGAGTTGTTTATTCATTTTAAATTGGAATAAAGAGCAATATAACCCTTCTTTAGCCTTGCTCCTTACTCTACAAGAACTCAACGAACAGTCGCTACTCAGTTCTTCAGTCCCCTAGCTTACAAGGAACTCTAGTTTAGCTAGGATATTACAACATCAAAATGCGGAGGAAAACAGCGTCTTCTTCTATGCCTACCTCCATGGTTCTGGCAACCTTCGTACAGGTTAGCACCTGTACGTATCGTGCTATATGATGAAGCGCTTCCTCATGTTACCAAGGTCCTGAAGTAGAAGATGAATACCCTCAAGCCGGAAGGTGTTACCCTGCAGATTCACTCGTGTGATTTTTCATCCCCAGTAAGTAAAATAGCTTGGAACGGACGATGGCTCCAATAGAATAATGAGGTCAAAGGAATGTAAAGACAGCTAGTTACATCTCTCTGTTTAATGCAAACTAACGATAGACAGTGGAGGGACAAAAATATGGAAACACCTTGTGAAATGCATGTTTGAAAAGAAAGATTGATTTTAATGAAATATGTAGGTGGCGCTGGCGTTTTGGACTACTGACGCCACCTATACAACTTCGTAAATGTGCTAAACAGTTCAGTTGTTGTCGGAGTACTGTTATGTGAGGTTGTCATTGCATTATGTCAGAGTTAACAGACTTCGAATGTGGGCAAATTGTTGGAGCACGTATGGTAGGTGCTTCCGTAAGCAAGGTAGCCGAGGTGTTTAGTGTTTCAAGAGGTACTGTATCGAAGATTTATTCCGCATATTTGAAAAGCGGAAAAACATCATCTGCTAAATCACAGCGCGGACGAAAGTGTGTCCTGAGTGATCGTGACAGACGATCATTAAGGGCAATTGTGACGAAAAAATAAGAAGACCACAGCTGCAAAAGTTACTGCTGAAATGAATGTTGTGTTACCGAACCCTGTGAGTACCAAAAACAATTAGAAGGGAGCTTCATAAACAGGGAATTGCTGGCCGTGCTGCAATTGAGAAGCCACTCATCAGTGATGCTAATGCCCGTAACAGGAAAAGGTGGTGTTTAAGTCATAAAGCCTGGACTATAGAGCAGTGGAAGCAAGTAATATGGTCTGACGAGTCTTCTTTCACATTGTTTCCCACTTCTGGCCGAGTTTACGTCTGGAGAACGCCATCTCAAGCCTATAATACAGACTGTTTGTTGCCAAGAGTGAAACATGGCGGGGGTTCTGTTCTGGTTTGGGCAGCCATATCGTGGTTCTCTGCTAGCCCCATGATAACTGTGTCAGGGCACATGACTGCCAAGACTTATGTGAACATTTTGGCCGATCAAGTTCATCCCATGGTACAAACTTTGTTCCCCGATGGTGATGGTGTCTTCCAAGACGCCAAAGCCCCTGTTCACACAGCTCACATTGTCCAGGACTGGTTTTCTGAGCTCGAGGATGAGTTGTCCCATCTCCCCTGGCCAGCACAGTCACCAGACCTGAATATTATCGAACCTTTGTGGTCTACATTGGAACGGAAAGTGCGTTCTCGTTATCCACCGCCAACATCGTTATCTGAACTTGCCACCGTTTTGCAGGAAGATGGTATAATATTCCCTTGGCAAACATACAGGAACTGTATTTATCCATTCCGAGAAGACTGCAAGCTGTTTTGGATGCCAACGGGTTTCCTACACCATATTAAGCAAAGAAACATGTTTTTTTTTAAGGTGTTTCCATATTTTTGTCCAACCCCTGGATTTCTTCACAAGAGCACCTCTAAACTGCCTCACTACAAGTCAACTACACTGTAGTTGATAGCAATTTCTTCAAAATAGATAATAGCCTGTCAGGCGGTACTGTTCTCACACCAATGACTTTTAATCCCCCCTATGTAAGAAACACACAAATCATAATTTTGTTTAAATTTATACAGCATAGAAACTTTTCGTTTGGCAGTGCGTGAACTTCCTCACTGATGGAACAAGTATTGAGAGAACTTACGCTGTCTTCTAAGTTTTTAATCCATACATGCTTGCAGTCTTGTATGTGAGGTTTATTTGGAATAAACTCCAAGGATCTTTCGTCACACTTCCATTGAGCATATCCTATGAAAAATATTTTGAAAATGTATTACAAAAACTTAAAATAAATAAAAATTAATTCCAAAATAAAATCACAATACTGAAGTGTCTTTCTTTTTCAGATTTATTATTGAATCTTTTTTACTAAAAAAAATATTGGATTAAACTTAGCAACTATTCATAAGCATACAAGTTTTACTGTTAATGTTGGAACCATTTGTTCACCATTCTGCTTTAAATAACGGTATTTTTCAAATATCAGTTAAAATATTTTGCTCTAGAAATCTTCTCATATAAAAATAGGTTTTTATTTTAATTTTATTTGTTTGCATCAGAATGCAATAAAGAATTATTTTTTAATATATTTATAAGAGTAAACTAAAAATTCACCCATATTACTACATTAAACAATGTTGCGAGTTTACTGAGCATCGAAATATTTGTTTACATTATGCTCTTATCGCCTTCTTGAAAAACACAACTTCAAAATGTCATTGGGGACGCCCCCAGTCAGTATAGTGGTCAGGGAAGCTGACTTGCGATGCCGAAAGGCATTGGTTCGAATCCCGGAGAAGCATGGTTGTAACTGTCCGTCCCTTCATAAGAAAGGCGATAGTGGCCCACCCATTAGGTTCCTCCATAATAAAATATTTATTTCATATTTAAGATTTCTAAACCTCTTAACTTTATTATGCGTTTAAGAATGAACTGATTTAGTTAAAAAAATTAATAAAACGCTTATAAACATAAAATGTTTAAATCAAGTTAAATCGAAGCTTAATTGAAATAACCATTCAGTAAAATAGTAAATAAATGAAGGAGTTTAACCTAATAAATTGTGAAAAATACGCAAGCATTTGTCAGTTACTGCACTTTCTTTAGATCTTAGTGCGGTATATTAAAGCGCTGATGACGGTGGTTAACAAGATAAAAGTTGTATTACTCCGTCCTCAATCAATCAGTAAATCTGAGTAAAGTCTGATTTAAACCTTAAAAACCACCCAGGAGGTAAGGTAATACAACCATACCTAAATATGGTGTGATTTTGTAGAAATATTAACCTTCAGTAGCATCATCAATGAAACTGTATCTGAGAAGTGGCTGATCTCTATACTAAAGAATATTACACAAAAATGAACGAATAGAGCAGAAAATCCAGACTGCAGTTTTATAAAATTACCATAGGTCAAACATCTCTCTTTCTGCACAAAAAAGAGATGAAATCTACATGTTCCGGGAAACTTGTTTAAAATCTTCAAGTGTAACATAAATTTCAAGTTTCCATAAATAGTATGTAGAGTTCAGGTATCTTCTTTGCAACCTTACACTGTAACTAAACTTTATATAGACTGTCACGAATTATTGCTAAAACTAAAGTAACAACTGAAACTTGAGAAGGGTGTAAAAGACCCTTTACTTAAAACTAAATAAGAACAGAAGGCACATTTTGTGTTTAAAACACATCCAATCTCTTGTGACGAGACAATTTAAAGTAACAGTAAATTCAAATGTAAAATTTAAATTCAAATAAACTAGTAGCCGTAGTCTACGCAAATCAATTTAACGCGAAGTTGGCTCAAATCTTAACCGGCAGGTATATTAACTATTGCCAGTTGTAATGCAAAGCCGAAAACTACAAGCCTTATCTTATCTAGCAACATAGCCTCAAGAGGCCGAACACGCTGTGTCTTACAAGATATGGATACAGATTATAAAGTTGCTTGCGCGGGCCCCTTTGTAAAATCTACAAAGCTTAATAAGCTTCTAGCAGGTGAAACTCTAAGAGCGGTCAAGAAAGTTGAGGTAAAAGTGGGGAGATCGTTGTCATCCTGTACTGCATGTGTGCCAATCTAATGAAAAGCGACGAGAGACAAAAGTCACCCCGCGCAAGAAGACAAGCAAATTTTGGTAGACAAAGTTAGACTACGAAGTTGATTTGTAAGCAAGTGTGTAACCAAACGGTCTGATAAAAATACTTTTGTGTTCCAAGCAAGCATTTCGTCTTAACGTTAAAGAGCAAAGCAATTTATATTTTACTTTGAATGCAAATCTTTCGCGACACGAATAAATAATGCATATGTTTTATCTGTATGATAGAAAGTTAACCACGCCTTTGAGGGTTTTTTGATTATTATTTTATTATTACAATAAGAAAACTCTTGTATTTCAAGATAGTTTGCTTCTGTTTCTAAAATATATCAAACTGGTTTAAGGTGTTAATATGACGAGAAATAGGTACTGCAACCGTATTCCTAACTGAACAAATAATCATTTTCTTGCAGAAAATCACGAAATGTTTTATAAAATTTATAATAGTTGTTAATAACTTTATAATTTGATTGTGTCTGTGTTTCTATTCAAAAATAATATAACTTTTGTATCTGTCTTATTGGAAATTTAGAGGTCTGAATGCTTACAAGAAATGATATACCAGACTGTCAGATTGAGTACAGTCTTTTATGCATATTTCTGTAAATCAGGCCACAATTAAAAAAATAGCAACTTATATAAAACTGTCTGCTCTATATTGTAAGGCTTTAATGTAAATTGCACTGTAATGGTTTACACTGAAGCGAATAACAGAAAAATCGGAAAACTGTATTTGTCATATTGGTAATTCATTTGGTAGAGTACTCATTCACAAGCAGATACTATATTAACACTTCGTGCAAAGATTTTGTAGTGGTATCTACCAAATCAAATAACCTGGAATTTAAGAAATGTGATTTCTTACATTTCTGTTATTTCCATGACCCCTTATGGCATTGCTCATGGGATAGCATACACTTCATTCCAATTAAAAAGCGAAAAATATAAGTATTTAGTTCACAACCAAAACGATAATTTCATAAATTCAGATGCTTCCAGAAAGATCGCAGATTGGAAGTATAATAATAGAAAATCATAACAAATTAAAGCAAAATTAGATTTTTAGGTGTGCGTTATTGTTTGATATATTTAAGAAACTACTCATGAATAAAGAACATGGAGATCGAGCTTATGAAAGAGCGTTAAGTGCTTAATATTTTATTTGGGTTACGAACGTGTAGGACTGGAATTATTAAAACATTTTAGGCTAATTAATTTAATAATTAATTTGACAGTCACTTCGAACTCCACGACTCTTTATATATTAAAAGCAATACATGTTTATTCAGTTAAGCTTCAAACTGCGTATTTCTAGTTAATAAGCTTAGATATAACTGACGTTAAAAAATTTAATTTTAATGAATTTTTGAGCGATTTTCTTAAACTGGTATTTAATAAAAACACAGTCAAAAAAGCAACCGCAACGAACGTACAACTCCATAAGTTATACACCATTACAAGTTTTTAATAATATCGTAATGAATGCAATACTTTTCACATTTTATCTTTATTTTTGCCGGTATGCTGTTCAAAAAACATACCATTCTGGCTGTTTTTATATTTATTCCTAACCAGTTAAATTTGAACAGAACCAATTTAATGATTTAAAAGTGCTAAACGCTTTCTTTCCTTTCTTCAAAAACGGTTCTGAAAATCAACTGCCCTGTACATTTTCAGCTTACAAGCAGTGGTAGATTTAGAAGGTAGTGCGAGTTGCAATCGTGAAAAGCCCCTAAATCAATAATTATTTTGGAACTACTCTTATATGCGCCCTCAGGTCGCCAAATTTCTCGCCAAAAATGTTTGGCTCCACGGTGCCACAAAACTCCACGGTGCCATATTACTATCTAAATTTTTTGTCTACATTTCGAACTTTAAGCCTAAAATGGCTCCAAAAACTACGTTTTGAACACACAATTTAAGCTAAAAATCCGAAACAAAAACAAAAAATTTAGATAGCAAAAACGTAAAGTTTCCAACCAAAAATATTTGACAAGAATCCATGTACACAGCGATATGTTTTAACTTAAAAAAACATCTACGACTTGCACAATGTAGGCAGCGAAAGAATCTACGAACTACGCACACCTCGCTTTAATAAATTAACATAACAACAATAAATTTCAAAGAATACCATGTACACAGCATTCTGTTTAAACTTAAAAAAACATCGACGAATTGCACAATCTAGGCACTGCACACAAATCAACAAAATAAACTAAAATAAATTACAAACAATTCAAATAACAACAGAAATTCATAGTAAAAAAAATAAACATAACATTCTACAAAATAAAAACAATAAAATAAAATGCACTTACCATAACACATACGTGAATAAAATTTCGCCAGTCACACAACGTCTATCAACAAAAGTGCTACAATTTTGCTTACATCACATGTCTTTCTGTGATTCAAAATTTCGAAAGTAACGATAAAACGTCCTCCAAAGTTAACTTACTAGGCCATGTAAGTAAACTTACATCATCCAAATCTTAAACTTCCGCTGACAGCCACATGCTTTACCAGCAATCATTTGACTTGCAAACCCAGACAAGTCTATCAGAAACACCATTCTTCGTCCGAGTTCTCATATCAGCTCCGCATTTCGAACACGCCAAACTCCGTTTTAAAAGTCCTGACTCCCACCAGAAATTCCAAAAATGCACTTTTACCCGCATAAACACACCTGTAAACAAAAGACTCGTTAACAACTCCAACATCGTACATTTTAATACTAAATTTACTTTGCACACAATCTAAAATACGCGACTGAAATCTTTCCACCACGTCTCTAAGTTTCAACGTCAAAAGGGTTGCCATACAAACAGCATCGTCCAACAAACCATCGCGCCAAAAATCAGCGCAGAACACATATCGCCACATTTGGTGATCTTAGGGCGCATATAAGAGTAGAGGCATTATTTTTTTAAAGTACCTATGTCTTAAAATGAGGAGGCGATCCTCCTTCCACCGCACATAAGGCATAAGATCAACTAGGTAAGCGAGTTGGCGAATTGGCAACGGGAGAAACATGAAAGAAGAAACATATTTGAGCATTGTGAACATTATTTTACCTGAACATGTTGTAGAGTCATTAGGTTATTTTCAAATAGGAGACATGAAAAATGAGCAATGCCTTCGTTGGGACTCGAATATGGACTTCTCAAATGCACACCGATTGTGCTACCGTTACACAACGGAATCATGCTGGAAGGAGGGAGCTGATATGGTACCTGGTACCTTGTAATGTTATTTCATGAAGTTAGAGCAAGCAACTATGACAAGAAAAATTTGTGAGAAGGACAAGCGTACTGAAATGCACCGTGAAAATTTTGCGTTAGCGTATAAAGTAATTCTATATTTATAGTAAGAAGCAGTTGGAAAAGGATATAAAGGAAAACCTATGTTAGGAGAATAAGATACGTCTCTTTTTCTTCGGTTTTACAAAGAAAATGTTCCAGGTTATTATATACTATATAATATATTTACGCTCACTTCCAAATGTTAAGCACGGAGAGGAAAATGCTAATTTCCGGAAGCCAATCAGAATTGAAGAGGATGCAATTCGCTGCTGAGGTAGATGGAAGTATGCAAATATGTTAAGTAACAGCCAATCGAGCTTTCATGTCAAGAAATATGCAAAAGGGCAGTCTTATAAGAAGCCAGCTCTATGAATGGTTACAGAAGTTAGTTGTAAGTGCTGATAGAAGGTGTTTAAAACTTTCATACAATTTGTTTTTAAGACATACGTGTTTCTATGACTTCCAGAAAACGAATGGAAGATTCTGAGCGCTGGCGTGCTGTGGGGCGCATTGAAGCAGGTCAGTCAATCACAGATGTTGCTCTTTTCTTCGGCGTTCATCATTCTGTAATTTCTCATTTATGGAAACAATTCCAAACCACACAGACAGTTGTCCGAAGGCTCGTAGCCGGTCGACAAAGAGTTACAACCCCCATGGAAGATCGATATATTGCTATTGTAGACAAGTGGAATCGCAGAGCGACCTCCACTCGTATGACATCTACGATTACAGCGTCCATTGGTAAGGCGATATCTGCAGCTACTGTACGCCGAAGATTAAATATGAGTGGACTGTACGCCCGGGTACCTCGAGTTTGTGGTTCCTCTATCCGTCCAATGAAGAGGGGCACGGTTACAATGGTGTCGGGAACATGTCATTTGGAATGTGTCTGGCTGTGGCAATTTCATGTTTACTGATGAGTCACGATTTGCTCTGGAGCCAGATGACAAGCGTATAATAAGGATATGGCGTGAACAACGAACACGCAATCAGTCCCAAAACATCACCGAACATCACGCATTCCGAGGCGGAAGCATTATGGTGTGGGCAGGGATTTCATTAGGATACCACACCGGGGGGACCTGCACACCTTTAAACGGGGTTCTTTGACGGCTGTCCGGTATCGAGATGAAGTCCTAGAACTCATTGTGAGATTATACGCTGTAGCATTTGGCGCTACTTTTGTTTTAATGAACGATAACGCACGTCACCATAGAGCCGACATCGTCGATGACTACCTGGAGAGTGAAGGGATTGTGCGTATGGCGTGGCCAGCATATTCGCCCTTACAGATTTGTTTATTTTTTGCATTTTACTTTCGTACTTAACTTTTGGAAGTGAGTGTACAAATTCCCGCGTATTTGAAAATCTGAGCTTTTAGGGACAGTTTAAGGTTTGCTTTTGTTAATCTTAAATATTTCTAAAATATTTCTAAAATAATTGAAAATCTTTGGGATGCTCTCGGCCGTGCTTATCTTCACGTTTCCCACCTCCAGCCACTCTTATTGAGCTGGGAAACTGCTCTACAAGAAGAATGGCGATTGCTTAATTCTGCGGTGGTTGACCACCTAATTGAAAGCATGGTCACAAGGTGTAAACTTATGACTCATGCCGATGAGTCATACAGAAACTCATACAGATGAGGGGGGCATCACATACCCTATTAATGTCCTTGTTTTCATTTTATGCTCTTTATTTTCACTTTATACATAATTAAGTCTCCAGTATGTCATTATCTGATAACTTACAAAAATTTAATATTGTTTTCATTTCTGTATATAATTATTAATTTTGTTTTATGCATAAATATATATGCTACTTTTCTGCCGAATTTTGTGTCAATCAAAGCAGTATTTGTTGATTTTTTTGCATTTTACATCTTCGTGCTTAACTTTTGAAGTGAGTGTATTTAAGCATACAAAATAAAGAGCCAAAACGCTAATATAAATTACTCATTTTTATAAAAACTGCATCAAAATTAATACTCGTTACCAATCATTCCTTCCGGACAGCTTATATTTGCTACAGTACCAGCTTCTGTATCTGGCCATATTATTCCAGCTTCTTCTGTTTGTTTACAATATTTAGGCTTTGCTGTAGATGTCAAAGTGCTGAAGAAGTAAAATACATGAATTAAAATTATATTACCTTTTTTAAGTTAAATTGTTAGAAAGATTTGGTTATCAAATTTAGTTTAACAGTGAAATCTATACTAATTCAATGCTAATACTTTCACTTTCCATTATTAGAGGACAGCAGCAGATTTTCGCAAATTGAATATATGGTGTTAGAGCAAATAAAAATTAAATTTCAAGTTAATAATAACATTCTGATTACTTTGTAAATGTTGAATTTGCAACCACCGGCTCCATAGTCATTGTAACAATTTGTTGTTTCGAAGATTCCTGTGACACCAACTTTCCAGGTGCAAAGGTCTTACCTGAAATAAAATTTTAGCTATATCAAGTTGTTAAACTTCAAGTATTACAGATGTCTACTTTATCACATTATGAAATAAATAATGTTTAGAAGTTACTTACGTAGTAATTTGAATATGAATCAATGCTGATAAAAGAACTCAAATGACTTTTGTTTAAGAATTAGATAGCTTGAAAGATTAGGTTATTTGAATATCGCAAAGCACACGTAAGCTTCTACTGTTCTGGCTTCCTGCCTAAGGGCAAGGACATCGTCGAGGAAAACTTTCTAAGCTAAACTGGCTAAGTGGGTAAAATTGGTAATGATAGCTAGCTTTTTCTTATATAAAATCACAGCTGCTAAAATTATTCCCTAGTACTAAACTAAGCAAAAATTATATGAATATAGACAATTTTAAAAAGTGGTCATTATACACTAAACAGAAAATTAAAAGCATTGTTGTTTTTTTAATTAATATTATACCTTTATTGTTTTAAATTAATTCAGTAAACCTTTATCAGTTATGTATTGCCTTAGCTTCTGCATGCAGTTGAGGCAGAATCGTAACTAATAATCTTCATGAATTATTTTCTAAACTCACTGAACAAATAGGGATTACTGAACAAGCTGCTCTGAACCTGATTTCAATATTTATTATCATTATTATTATTATTACTTGCTCCGCCATTTGACAGTACTTCTTAAGGGAAACTGGCTTTTACCCACGTTATGCATGAGTAAACCACGAAAATGCCCATGCAACCAGCCCATTTCCCGGGTTAACTCTGGACCGAACTACCTGCGTTCAGCGGCTTTTCCCGCTCGGCCGCTGGTGGGCCTTGAATTTAACATTGATATGACAAAAAGCGCCCCTCCAATTGTAAAATTGCTATCACTAAATCATTTTTCTTTCTTACGCTGAAAAATGAAGATTTTGTATGCTTTACATTAGCTTTTTAATGCGGCTTAGGTTAGGTTAACTGTTGAAGGCAAAGCGACTCGGGGCTGTCTGCCTATGAGGAAGGATGCCTTTTCTAGGGAAAATGCTCATATCCACTTTAACCATGGAAAAAAACACGAAACCTTCCTTGCAGCCAGCCCGTTCACCATGATTCGAATCCGAGTCGAACTACCAATGTTCAGCAATTTTCCCACTCGGCCGCTGGTGGATATCTTTTTCAGTGCAGAAGATGACCTTTGTGTTTAAGCATATTAAAATATTATAATATAAATCTTTAATATTTAAAAAGGCATGAATTACTTTTCATGAATGTCACAGCTGTTGTAATAAAAGTAGTGACATCAGGTGTACTTCCAAGTCCTTTCGTGCTTGCTGGAATGTTATCTGTTTTTATGCTTGTTGATGTGGCATCTGTTTCTGTGCTGGATGAAGTGATACCTTCTTCTGTGATGGTTGAAGTGATATCTGCTTCAGTAGTCGAAATTTCAGTTCTTTTGCTTGTAGTAGTTGTTTGTATATCCATTGGGAGCCAAAATTCGCATATAGCAACATTGCGAGTTGACTGCTCCTGAAATACATGCATAAAATACAGGTATTAAAAGAAAATATTTAACTTACATTAAAATAATGTCCAGATTTAGTTAGACACAATTTTAGAAAAATTTCGAGCGTTAAGTGCATAAAAGGAAAACCAATAATATTTAAAAAGGCGATGAAATCAAATAATTATAGAATGTATGCCAGAAATGCACACTGAAGTCATACATGAAATTTAAAAAAAATCCAGTATTAAGTTGATGCTGATTCTGCAGAAAATAAAGTTTCGATTTCATGGAAATCAGGTTTGGTGTATTTAACTATGGCAAAGCACACTAGGGCTATCTGCCTAACGAGAGGCATGCCTTCGCGAAGGACTTTCTAAGGGAAACTGGCTCGTATACACGTTACACATGGATAAAACCACGAAACCGCCCATGCAGCCAGCCCGTTCGCGGGATTCGAACCTCGGACTGAACTACCAGTGTTCAGCGACTTTACCGCTCGGCCGCTGGTGGTGCCCCCGGGAAAATCAGGCAACAAGACAGAAAGGTTTTTGCTCCTCAATTAAAAATGATTTCGTTACTTGATTTCTTAGAAATCAACAGAATTTTCTATACAATCGCACCAAACTAATGCTGAATTTTTGCTTAACTTTATAAACATTCAATAGTTAATTTATTACATATATGCCCAACAGCAGCCGAACGGTAAAGTTGAAAAGCACTGATAGTTCGATCTGGGTTCGATTTTACGCAAACGAGCTGGCTGCATGGCATTGTCATGGTCTTTCCCATGTGTAACGTGGATGCGAGACTGTTTCGCTTAGGAAGTCCTCTACGGAGGCATCCCTCCCTTTAAGCAAATAGCTGTCGTGTGATTTGTAGTAATTGAATAAAATATTGATTTAAGGTTTTAATCTGCAAACAAGCGTAATTTCAAATTCATTTCTAAGCATTATATTTTTAAGCTGAAGTGGCATTAAAATCTGAGTTAAATAAAATTAAGTTCAAAGTCTTCAAATGTTGTAAAAATATGTCTTGAGTCGTAGGTATTCTTTCTGAGCCAAATTTGATTCATTTACCGTGTTAAGATTTATTTATTTATTTTACTAGTAGTTAATTTTAAATTTAAAAAAACTTTACTGTCACTCTCCTTTTTTTACCCATGCTTTTCATGCCAGATAGAGCGAGTTTATTGGGATTAGGGGGGGGGAGAAGTGCTATTTAAGAGAAAGTTCACAATTTGGTTTTAGAGTATGTTCTGCTTACTTGAGGCTACGTTGTTACCGTAACTAAATAGCGATTTGATTGTATGGCGTTGAGGGTTTCTAGCCATTACGCTTGTCTCGCCGGCTTCTACAAGCCAGAGCATTCCTACGCGTTTACTTTATCCCGTGAGCCGTTAGGCTGGTCCAAATTACATTTTATTTTAAATTCAACATTACTTGTTTTACGTTAAGCCAGAAGTGTTGGCTTATGTAAACACAAGTGGAGTCAACTGTTTATTCTTTGTGATTCAATAAAAAGGCTAATTACACCCTTCTTCTCACTGCGTCTGCCTACAGTTAAAGACATGTGAATAATTCCTTTTATTTTAAATGTTGAATTTAAAATAAAATGTAATTTGGACTAGCCTAATTTGGACCAGTCTTTCTAGAGCCCGCGAGTTTATGTTACAAAAACATACGGGACTCTATACTGGCGCCCGAACAATAAGAAGAACTATGTCTGAGTAAACTTCACCTTTTACCATCTTGACCTCAACGGCGCAAGTCCCGTCTGCCACAATGAATCCCATGGAGGGATTTCGATTTATTGTTGGCACTCTTAGAACTGCTCTGAAACCAGCAGCAACTTTTAATGGAAAGACCTCAGTCTTGAAATTTTGAAAAGAAGTGAATAAAAAGTAGGGGAACCAGTTAAAATGAAAAGGGGTGCTGAAAAAAAGGTAGTGTCACTCCGAAATAAGGAAAATCCCTCGGAAATGAGATTAAATACTGTAGTTATAAGAAATTTTGAACTGCCAGTAATGCAAGTTTTGTTAAATAGTATCTCTGCGGAAGCTTTCATTGATACTGGAGCTCAAAGCAATTTCATTTCGGAAACTTTCTTTAGAAAATACTTTCGTAAACATAGGCGTTTTAAATTAGGCGGGGAGAAAGCTATTGCCACCCAAGGCGAGTAGTGTACACGTACCCCCAAAATATTATTGAATGTGCAGGTGAAAGATGAAACTCTGAAGGTAATTTTCTTCGTGGTACGTAGCCGCCCTAATCTTAATCTGAAAGCCGCCCTAATCTTAGGGGTAAATTTCTTAAAAGCGACAGGGGCTCATTTTAATTTTTGTAGTTCTGTTTTAAAATTACAGGTGAATAAAGTCGAAGAAAAGGTTCAGCTGCCGTAGCTCGTGTAAGAACATTCGAAGCCAGACCAGAAAAAGAAATTGTAAGCTCTGGTAAGCAAATTTGCAAATCTTTTTGATGATAAGTCTGGATTTACGAATATAGTAAATCATGAGGTTGACCTTGGTAATGCTGCACCAGTAAAAGGTAAACCGTGTCGATACGATACTGTTAGGAGAAAATAACTATAGATCATGTACGGGAAAAGTTGAGAGAAAAGTTAATAACATATATTAGTTGCCCGTACGCAAGCCTCGTGATTTTGTGTAGGAAAAAGAATAATCTCCCTTCTACTAACCACATAGTACAGCGTTTTACCCTAAGTTATAGAAAATTAAATAGAATTACTAAATATCCTATCTATCATTTGCCCATAATTGAAGAAATAATTCGAAAAATTAAATCCACAAAATTTAGGACGACATTGGATCTTACATCTGGATATTTTCAAATTGTCGTGAAGCCCAAATATAGCTAAGACAGCATTCATCACAAAGTCCGGTGTCTACGCTTTCTTAAGAATGCCGTTTCGATTATGTGGGGCACTAGCCACTTTTCAAAGGGCCATGGACACAACCAGTCCTCGGAAAAAGCCATTTCATTTATTTAGATGATATAATAGTAACAAGTGAAACCATCGAGCAAGATGTTAAGGATTTACACGAAATATATTCACTTCTAAATGAAGCCGGACTAAAATTGAATGCCGCCAAATGTAAGTTCGCTGCTTTAGAACTTCGGTATCTAGGATACAAATTATCCGGTAAAGGGATAGAAACAGAAGACTAAAAAATAATTGCAATTGAAAACTACCCTCCGCCAAATAATGCAAAGAAACTTTCTTCCTGCTTAGGTAGGTGTCCTTTTTATAGGACTTTTATTAAAGACTTCGCTCAAATAGCCGAACCGTTGTTACTATTAAAAAGAAAGAAAAACTATTAAAAAGAAAGAAAACCTGCTTTTATTGGACAGCCGAGGGAAATACGGCGTTTGAAAAATTGAAACAGGCACTCATAAAAGCCCCCGTGGGGAAATTCGCGGGAGGCGACGAAGACGTAGAAATTTCGGAAGATGCCTCAAATTATGCAGTGGGTGCGGTCCTCGTTGCAGAAACGCCAGCCAGTGGCGTATTTTAGTAAAACACTTAATCTCACGTATAGAAACATACACTGCTAGCGAGCGAGAAGAGCTTGCAGTTTTATTAGTCGTAAAAGAGTTGCGAGTATATTTTGGCATATCGCCAATTATAGTTTATTCAGATCATTCAGCCGTAGGACGTTCATGTTCAGGAAAAAATTTGTCGGTAAGATTGATCCGTTGGGCACTCCAACTACGAGAGTTTAACCTAATTATATTAAAACATAAAGTGGGAAAGAAAACTCAGTAGCTGAGGCGCTGTCAAGAATAAAGTTAGATGATGAAGGCAACGCACCAAAATGCGCTATGCTGATATCGAAAATACAGCTTGTACCTGATGCGCGCGAGACAGTTATTGAAGAATTGAAAAAGAATCCCGAATTCAAAAATATTTATTTTTACATAAAGAATTCGGATCGTATTGAACACCCAGACATTACGCCAATACTAAATACAACCCAAAATTAAGAAGTTATTGACAATCTGTTATTCTATTCAGTCTACAAATCAAAATTATGAACTTGGGCAAGTTATCCCAGTAGCATTAAGGTTAAATATTTTAAGTGAATTACATGATTCTCCCATGTCTGACCACCTGGGAATTAGAAAAACGGTACAAGGAGTTCGTGAGGCGGCAGTTACAAAAGTTCGTAACTGCGTATGTCGTCCTGCATACTTGCCAATTAAATAACGACGTTAACTATAACCCGGCAGGGTACTCAAAAAATTATAAGACATTACGAACATGCAAAAAACGAACAGCAAAAAATTATAAGTAACATTCCCTAACGAACTAGTTCGGGAACCGACTTGTTGCGTCCATTCCTGCGCAGCGAAATAAATAAAAATCGTTATTTACTTGTTATCGCAGATCATTTTTCTAAATGGGTTGAAACAGTCTCCATGAGAAGATCCTCGGCTAAAATAGTAACAGATTCGTTTTTAAATAAATATGTCCTAAAGTAAGAAGTTCTTTTAAAACTAATTTCCGATAATGGTAAGCAGTTTGTGTCCCAAATATTTGAAAGGCTATGAACAGGACTTGGCATACGCCACCTAAATATGGTACCTTATCGGCCGTAATCCAACATAGCTGAACGTGTGAACAAGAATATAGTGAAGATAATATGTTGTTACGTGAAAAACTATCATAAGCGCTGGGATAGCGAAGTCAATGAGTTAGCGTATGCATTACGAACAACAAAGTATGATAACACAGGAAAAAGTCCAGATGAGCTGTTGTTAGGCCGAAAAGTTAATTACACCGCTGGACAAATTATTTTTGTACAGAAGATAATCCCGGAATTCCAAGTGAAAAGATATGTTGTTTTTGTCGTGTCAATATTGCACAGAAGAATGGTTGCAAGAGCCTACTCCAAAGAGAGGTAAATGAAATATATCCAGAAGCTAATAGATGAAAGAGTTAAAAGTTCAGACAGAGCAAGGGAGAAACAGAAATTATATTATGATAGGAATCGGAGGGAAGCCAA